GACAGACCAGTTGCTAGTTCAAATACAACGTATATACGTGGATTGTGACTCTGCGGTTAACTACCAGTCCTTTACGTTCGCTTAACCAACAAACTAGAGACAACAGACGCTCTTAACGAAGAGCTATGAATGAGAACATTTCCATTTCACAAATAACGAAGTCCTTCAGTTGATATTAAATCTATGTCGTAATGTTTAATCTGATGAATACCTGTCGAATCGAGTGTACTGCCTGTTGTTGAGCAAAAGCGTAGTTATTACCTAAGATAAGAGGCACGCAAGATAATCTTTTTACGCTTGGCCAATTTATTTTAATCAAGGTTTGCATAGGGATTATGATACTGGTAATCTTCAACTTTTGTAGCATGGTCATTGCTAATGCCCGTTAGTTTCCATTTGATATGGGATTTGTTTACTGTATGATCAATATGCTTAGATAATCGTCGAACGACTGAATTCCGCGCGTATCATATAAACACACCAGAATGGTTTTACAGGTCATGTTGAGTCGCATTGTCTTTACCTCTGTGCTTGATACAACGGCGAACAATACGAGAAAGGTACAATCTTCTTTTAATTTACTTTCAACGTGCTACGATTCAACGACAATTTTATTATAGGTTTTTATATTTTACAAAAGGAATTTTAACAAGATTGACTTAACTTACCCACTTGATTATGACTTTAACTCGCCTTCCCAGCCGTTATACGTAGTTATCTATGTTCCTTGAGACAGTTTACCAGTCAATAATGACTGAATTTACAAATACCATAATTTGTTATTATTGTTATTACTTCGAAATGACTAAGTGGTATGTGCATCCTTACTGTGTTCACCTCAGTCATTTCACGCCCCCAAAAGCGGTGTATGATATTTGCAGACTGCAGACTACATTTAGCCCTAAATAGCACTCAGGTTAGCCTGTGTTATATGCATGGTTAGCTCTCTCTATACACACCTATCGACCAATGAGAGCGCGCGTAGTAGCTCAGTTATTTTATAATATTAGATCAAAAGTCTGCGGTCTACAGTCTGCAGTCTGCAAATGTCATACACCCCCAAAAAAGCCCATAACCCGTATCAGTGATTTCGCAAGTCTCGTAAGGTGATCGGCTTTCGCGTTCGATGATTTGCCGTGCAACTTCAAGCAATTATTCATCCATGATAATGATAATGATAATGATAATGATAATGATAATGATAATGATAATGATAATGATAATGATAATGATAATGATAATGATAATGATAATGATAATGATAATGATAATGATAGTGATAGTGATAGTGATAATAATAATTCATACTTATATTGCCTTCTTTCTACAAAAAATAATCAAAACACATTACAGTTAGTATAATAAATTCATGCAAGTATATCCATGCCCAATGACATCTTGGAATCTTTTTCCCATTCTTGAAATTATACAGTTTTCTTGACATGTGATCAGGGAATCGGACAACAGTAACCGATAACCGTATTTTCAAGTAACAGATAATTTTTAGCAATAGTAAAAAAATTCTCTTTGCTAGGTATTTCTTTAGTAAATACAACAATTGATCCATAATTGGTGAATAAAACAATGGGTCTCGCCAAATTTTCGTAGAATTTCACGGGTCTCGCAATCTCGATTTTTTTTGGCTTTTTTTATTTGAATGTCTAAGAGTCATAAAGTCTTGCGCTTGCATTTGTCGCAAGACGCGAGTCTCTACTTCTCGCAAAGTGTGGTATTAAACTTTCACCATTGCTTATGTTTTTGGCGTGTTCTCAAAATTTTATCCAATCTCAACCTTGACATTCTAATAACTATACTAGGAAGGATGATAGCACACGCCATATTGGCTTTGTTGTAGCTCGAATATCGAGCTTCCTGTCACGCTTCAGGATTAGAAAACAACTCCCAAAATAAGGCGCACCTTTCCCGCTAGTTTATGACGTAATTCCGTGTCCGGTACCCGGCCTTAATATTCCTGCTTTTGTGCTCGTGCAGAGGGATCCCGCTCAAGTTTAGGTTACTTTCTCCAACATTCGAACGCTATTAAATCTGCAAGCATTTTAGAATCTTTTAAACTTTTAGTTGAAACATTTTTATATAAGCAACGTTACGAATTTTTTTTTCAATCGAGGTGTGGTAAACGTATTTTAAATTTGTTCTTCCTATATTTTGTAATCTTTTTAATCTATTTCTTGATTATTTTTAACGTCAGTAACTGCATTGAGCACCGTTCCGTGCAGTCAAAAAGCCATTTTCGATTATATAACATAACCTGTGCGCGATTCGGCTACCTCAACTTTCCTATAAAAGGTTTTCGTATAAAGACAAGTGTATCCGTTTTGTCACTGGTACAACTTGGTAAACCGTAAGATGCTCAAACCCGAAATGATTTTTTGAACAA